GGGGGGGGGCAACAGTGGGAGGGCTCCTAGTGTCCTGGCCCCACTGCTGGACCTCCTGATGGCACCTGGTATTTTTGGCAACTGTGACAGTGTTGGACTGGATGGGCCATTGACCTGATCCAACATTGGCTTCTCTTATGTTTTTATGTTACAAGTTAAAACAAAGCAAAATAACAAACCCCAAATTACCCACACACGCACACAGATGCCTGCTATTTTTAGCCCATCAAAAGCTCTGGCAAACAAATAGGCTTTGCAGAACTTCCTAAAGATCTCCCTCGTCATGGAGCCCATTCCACAGAGTGGGAGCCGTGTTGGAAAAGGCTATGTTGGATTCCATAAAAAATACAAATGGCCCTTAGTCCTTACATATCACACAGATAACAGAAAAATCTCACAACTGACAATGTGATCCTGTATCACATAAATTAGAAAAGTCACATCCTAGCAATATTGTAGAACACTTCTATAAGAAGTGACAAGCATCTAAATGTTTTGTAGTTGATCTTCCTTAGAAGTTATTCATAGTAGATCTTCCTCAAGAATTCTGTCCCTTTTTTTTCCAGCTCAACTTTTACAGGAGATGCAAGCCTACCCATTAATGTTTCCTTAATCAGGCACAAAGCCTTCTGCTCTAATACTTGCAAAACACTCTCTGAACATGCTGGCAACTTTTCTAATTTTTGTGATACAGGATCACATTATTAGTTGTGAGATTTTTCTGTTATCTATCTGATAAGGACTATTTGTATTTTTATGAACTATAAAATACGGTAGCCAAGAATCACGGTGATTATTTGTCGTTAGGTTTTCCACTGTGTGATCACTGTTTTTCTGGTGGATTCCAGGCATATACCCTTCCAAATGTGGGAACGGCCAACATGTGGCAGCCTGGAAACCACAGCCGCTGGCACACTGAAAGACGTGGAAGGAGACGGTCCCCCAGATCTGTGTGGGCCACAGGGCATGAAGTGCTTCCAAGGTCATAACCAGACCTTGAATTGAACTCAGAACCAAGCTGGCAGCCAGTAGAGTGGTTTCAAACGGGCAACATATGCTTCCCTCAGCTAGCCCCTGAATAGTCACGCAGTTTTGGGGTTGCCTTCAAGGGCAGCCCATCATAGAGCACATTAGAGTAATCCAGCTGTCAGGTTGCAGAAGCAGGGATTGGCATGGTCAGGTGAACTGAGTCTAGGGAAGCAGAGTGTTGGCCAACCAGATGCAGCTGACAGAAGGAGCTCTTGGCCACTGCACCAACCTCCTTTTCAAATAGCAAGGCTGGGTCCATAAGCACCTCAATACGTAACCTTCTCTGAAAAAGCCACCTCCTCCGTCCAGCACAGGTGAATCTAGTCCCCCTAGATATAACATCAGTCTTGCTGACCAGCATGACATCTGTCTTGTCTGAATTCAACTCCACTTTGTTCCACCTTACCTGCCTGACCATGGCCTCAAAGCACCATATTAAAGCGCATGGGTGAGAGAACAGAACCCTGTGGCCAATGATCCCATGCCAATGATTCTGCTTCTCTGGTGGAAACGCTTTATGACAACACAGCAGAAACCTCCCAGTATATAGAAATCAAAAAACACAAACTGGGGAAGTTGCTATCATATGCAAAAAATATGTATTAGAATAGTAAACACAACAAGTGAGCAGTAAAAAATATGTATTAGAACAGTAAACACATCTTTATGTCCAGTCAGACAAAGAAAACCCAAACCAGTAAAGGGTTACTTCCTTAACCCAAGTCCATATCCTCGATGGCGGATAAGAATGGAGTGGTGAATAGTGTGAAAGCCAGCGTGATGTGGTGGTTAAAGTGTCAAACTAGGATCTTCTGGGAAACCAGGATTCAAACCCCATTCTGCCATGGAAGTTTGCTGGGTGACCTTGGGCCAGTCACACACACTCAGCATAAACTACCTCACGGGATTGTTGTGAGGAGAAAATGGAGGAGATGAGAATGTTGTACGCTGCTTTGGGTCCCCACAGGGGAGAAAGGTGGGGTATAAAGGGTCAAAGGCCACTGGAAGGTCTAACAGCAGTAGCAACAGGGAGGACTGTCCTTTGTCCAGCTGCAAGCAAAGGTAATCTGCTAATGCAACTAAAGCCATCTTGCTACCAAGCCCCAGACTGAAATGTAGCAAGGGCAGGTGTGTTGTCCAGGAATCCCTGGAGTGGCTCTGCCACCACATGTTCTGTCACCTTCTCCAAAAAAGGTAGTTGGAAAGTGGCCTACAACTGGCCAACTCAATCTAGCTACCAACGGTCTAACAACGGCCTCCTTCAAAGGTCCAGGGATAACCTTGATTTTAAAGGCCAGGATGAGCACAGGTCACGAGCACAAGTGCCGGTCCTCACACTACAAAGGACCCCGTCAGCATCCATAGGCAAGATTAATCTGAAAGTATCTACAAAAATAGGACAAGCAGGTGTGTCGGATACCTCGGGTACTGGCTTTGTCCTCAGTTTTGTCAGCTAGCTGCCATGTTTTGCATGCTTCCTTCTCCGACCCTGGCGCTACGGCGCATGCTTCACAGCTTGCTCGCTGCTCTGCACGCTTGCCGTAAACAGCGATAGGGAGACTGTGAGAACCAGTGCTGCCAGACTGAGTTTTCTGTCTGACCTTGGGACGGAGGGAGGACTTGCGTTTCACCGCTGATGTGAATATTTCCGCTCTCATGGGGCGCTGAGGCTCTCCCGCTTATTATGTAACCTCCCACCAGGAGAATTCCCGCGCCCGCGCTCTGATTTAATTTGCTTAGCCATTTGCCTCATCCTGCTATATGTAGGGATGTTTCTGCCCTATTGTCATTCCTAACAATAACCTTGTGGACATGGTAACAGACCTGTAGTCTAATAAAGCATAACGCTTCCCTGGAAATGTGTGTGGAGATTTACTTGCTGTTGAACCTGGCATAAATTGTTAGGAATCACTTTTCCTCCATCGGGCCAAGTCTCTCCTGAGCGAGATGAGTGGTCCCGGTGGGGCAGGGGTGCCTATCCCGACAACCACGGCGGTGCCTACCCCAACAACCATGGCGGTGTCTACCCCAACCACAACATCACCGGCGGCTCCCATTCCAACGACTGTGGGAACGGGGGCGCCTGTGGTGACGGGGAGCCCAGGATGGCCGGTATCCACGGATGGAGGGGCCACCCCTAGGTCGGCGGTTTCGTTCATCCCTGTGCATTTGGGGAGTAACCTACCACCACAAAGAGAGGGATTGGGGCCGGCATTTGGGTGACTCCACGCAAACTACCTGGTCGATGCCAGGGAGTAGGAGTCGGGACAGTATCTTTGACCCGCGGTCCAGCTCAGGGAGCTTTGGAATGACCCCGGGTAGACCCATCCCGTTCCCACCGAGATCATCGGTCGGTCGGGACATGGATTGGAGACTGGATATTTTGGAACTGGACTGTCGCACTATAATGCGAGACATGGGACAATTGCTCCACAACCTTCCGGGGATAGTGGCCCGGGCGGTCCAGACCCAACTGGCCGTCCCACAAGTTCCACCGAGAATCATCGGTCGGTCGGGACATGGATTGGAGACTGGATATTTTGGAACTGGACTGTCACACTATAATGCGAGACATGGGACAATTGCTCCACAACCTTCCGGGGATAGTGGCCCGGTCGGTCCAGACCCAACTGGCCGTCCCACAAGTTCCACCGAGAATCCCGTGCTGGGCCCAGAATCTGGTCAGCCGGTCCTGCAGCCGGCTCCACCGCCGCCTCCCCCCTCCTCCTCCACCCCCGCTACCACCGCTGCCGCCGGGGCAGCCGCAGCCCCCAGCACAGCTGGTGGGTCCCGCCACCGGCAATGCCACGACCCAAGGACTTACTTGATGTTACTTTCAATGGCGACCCGGAGAACCTCTCCTTCTTTATCGTACGGGTGATGAAGTTTGTCGAGCGCTGAGCTCACCTGTTCCCCAACGAGGAGAATCAAGTGGATGTCATCGCTTCCCGCCTGCGGGGTGCAGCGACTAGCTGGTATGTGGGGCTCCACAACCTGGAGAGCCCTCCACACTTTCAAACAAGGCAAGTTGTCCGTTATGGAATACTCAACCAAGTTTAACGGCAAGTGGCCAAAATCCGGGACTGGACCGACCCAGTGTTCGCACAGCAGTACCGGATGGGCCTGAATGCAGACATTCGAAACTCAGCAGCATGGATGCAGGAGGCGGAGAGCGCCAAGAGCATGCAGCTGGATAACGCGGTAGTGGCCGGGAGAACCCTGGAACCTCCCCCACCCCAAGGCAAAGGCCACCCCACAGTTGCCATCGGTCAGAGAGCAACGGAAGAAACGGGCTGTGACTCAGATGTGGGAAGCGTGGCCATTTCGCAGCTAGCTGTCCCTTGGGGGAGGGCAGAGGAGCGACGGGGAAAGAAGGTGACAAGCGCCGGAGCGACTTTCTTCCCAGAAAAGGAACGGCGAAAGCTAGAAGCCCCTAGCACCTTGCGGGGCCCTGCAAGCCAAGGTAGATGTGTTGGGAACGAGGGGGGGGGGGGGGGGGGGAGATGGAACCGGCGGGAAAAGGCCAGGTCCTGCAGTAAGTGGCGCTGAGCAGCAGGACCCAACAACGGAGGTGCCTAAAGTGGTGAGCAGCTACCCACCCCTCTTTTTCGTGACTGTGATTATTGTGAACCCCACTATGGGTATGCATATTAGGGTCCAGGGCCTCATCGACTCAGGGTGCGGGTGAGATTTAATCAACCCCTCCTTGTTCGCCAGCCTGGATGCGGACATGGTCCGGTTAGCCGAGCCTTTAGTCTTCACCCAAATGGACGGGTCCCCGATGAAAGAGCCCTGTAAATATGAGACTGTACCGTTACGCATGGGGGGCAGGGGACCATTGGGAGGAAATTAGCTCATTTGAGAATCTTAAATAAGCCACTGTTGTGAAAGAGAGAAGAATTTAACAGCTGCCTCCTGACTTTCATTTTCAGCAGGGTTGCAAAAATGAAAGCTTTAAGAGATTTTCCGAATATATATATACAAATTACTGCAAATATTGATTTAAACTAATGACACAGAGATAAAAGCTTTATATCCTCTATATCTTACTGCCACTCATATGAACTATCCAGTCCTCTGGGGGAATGCACTTGTTGGGATGCTCTGACCTTCAAAGATGCTTATGTTTTAATCCTCTTTCAGTTGTGCTCTTTTTTTTGCTCTTTTTCACATGCCCACATAATCTCTTCACTGTGTAAACACTGCCCCCTTGTGTTCAATCTGCAACACAAGTTCCAACACATCTCTCTTTGTATCTTCTCCTTTCCCACTACCATCTCCTCTCCTCTTTGCTCAAAACACCCTGCAGTGAATTTGCTATATCTGATGCAAAACTCAATATACCCTGTCAGAAACACTGTGCCCTGTGTGATGCCTAGGCAGGTTTTGTCCTGCAATCGCAGGCAGGAAAGCTGCACAGTGCAGCTCTGGGAGCAAAAGCAAATGGCAGGTTCCCCATCTCTTTCTTCCTCTCCCTGGGAACCACCGGGCTGGCCTCTTGACGGCTCAACATTTTGGTACATTGGCTCTGATCTGATTGTATCTTCTGGACCAAAATATGAAGACTTGATATTGTAATATTATTCAGGACATCTATACAAGGCGATACTCTATGAGGCCTCACCAATATTCTCAGGCCTTGTTGTAACTATTGTAACTATTAACTATAAAACTCCTTTTTTTGGTCCTACATTGATTAACTTATTGTCTAATTATTGTCTCATGGAGCCTATATGTACACATATTGCTTGACCACTGAAGAAGGCCACTTTGGCCGAAACACGTCTGGTCGCAATAGGTCCTACTTGTGTGTTTTGTACACTTTTATTCTGTATTGAGGCTATAATCAGGCCCATAATTGTTTTTAACTAATTGATAATAAATACATGTATTTTTGACAATATTTCAGTTATAGTTTTTAGTTATTGGCCCCCTACTTTGTATGCAACTAACCTTTCAGGTACTTGATTCATTTGTTTGGGCTAATTCCCCCCCTTTCCCCCCTTTCTCTTTTGAATACCAGGCTGCAGCGACAGAATAGAAATTTGCAGTCCAAACAGGGTCAGCCCAAGTTTTTCGGCACCCAAGGCAAACTATGACTTTCCCCTTCCCATGCAATAGAGAGAAAGTAGGAAGTTAAGAATTAACTTTTTAAAAAATTACGCATGCAAAACAAATGATGTAAAAATAAAAACCATCAGGGCAGCCACAGAAGACCAGACTCTGTGCCAGCTTATGCCAAGCTTACTTTCAAGCCACCACCGCAGAATGGCTGCCTGTTGTGAGCAGGGCCAGTCTGCCTGTTGGGGTTAGGGTGTTGCCAAAGACAACAGGAAACCCTTAGCGTACAAGTATAGCCACAAATAACACCCACCAAGGGAAGGCTATCAACAATTCACAACTATATATGATCAAAAGTGTATATTACATTCATTAAAGTGCAAAGATGGGTTAGTGGTCATAACCCAACAGAATGTATAAACACAAATCCAACAGATTGCTCATAACAATTAAGCATTGTCTACAAAAAGAATGTAGGCTCCTCTAGTAGTTCTGTACATACATAGTGTCCATAGACCTCCAAACAGAAAGTAACTGCGGCAGAAGACGCCCACTGTGGAAAGAATAACAGCCGTACATCTCTCCCAGGTATAAATTAAGATGTTTCAATGGTCTTCAACAAAATAACATAGGCTTCAAATAACTTTGAAGTTATTGAGCTGTGCCTATGTTATTTTGGAAATCGGGTTCTGTTTTACCAGCCACTGTTGAAGACTTTCCTGTCTGCCCATTTATTTTGGCACTTCACTGGGTGCGGTCAGATGGCGTGCTGGGAGCGGTTTAAATTGCTCCAGTCCCGATGCGTTTTTTTTTTAACCTGGAGAATTGCAATCACACTCACCTCCTTGTTCTGGATCGCTGCGCAGCCACATCGCTCCCCGCCATCCACACGTGGGAGTGTGCGTTGGTGTCCCCCCCCCTCAGTTTGGGCATGCGCACAGGCAGCCATCTGTAGAATTAAAATTTGCGTGCGTGCGCAGAACAGCAAATTCCACTTCACCACAACTGCTGTAACATTTCCCTTTAAACTTTAAAGGAACACTTCCCTTTAAACTTTAAAGGAACACTTCCCTTTAAACTTTTACCCCGAAACTGGCCTCCGTGAGATCCCGAACTTGTCTAACCAACAAAACGAAAGGGAAACGGCTTATTGCCTAGCTGTTATTTCCCATCCTGTTTATCTTCTCTGTTATTGAAAAACGGGGGGGGGGAGAGAAAGCGCGACCCCCAACTTGCCGTGCTGATCCTAAGGAACTGGGCAGGGGCAAGGCTAGCTTGTGGTGCCCAGTGCCCCCCCCCCGGGCGTGTTTCTGGGAGGTCTCCAGGCCCCACTGGGAGGTTGGTTTTTGCCCTGAGGGGGCGCGAGCGCCACAAGCTAGCCCCGCCTAGGGCGCAGAAACACCTCGAGCCGGCCCTGGATCCATGCTATGGTCACCTCGAGACTAGACTACTGAAACGCTCTCTACATGGGGCTGCCCTTGTCACAGATTCGAAGGCTACAGCTAGTGCAGAATGCTGCAGCCAGGCTTTTGATGGATCTCCCCAGGTGGGAGCACATCCAGCCTGTCCTGAGGACACTGCACTGGCTGCCAATAGCATACCAAATCTGCTTCAAGGTGCTGGTTCTTACCTTTAAAGTCCTATATGGCCAGGATACGACATACCTGAGGGGCTGCCTTTCCCCGCATATACCCCAGAGAGCACTTCGATCAGGGTCTCAAAATCAACTCACCCTCCCTGGCCCTAAGGATGCCAGGCTGGCGACAACCAGGGCCTAGGCTTTTTTGATGGCGGTCTCTTTCTTTCTTTCTTTCTTTCTTTCTCTCTCTCCTCCCCGTCTAAAGTTAAATGTATTCTCCAAGCCCTTCCCCACTGGCCAGCTGGCTTGTTGAAAGCATTTGTTTCTTTAAATCCCTTCTCCAAGCCAAGCTGGCTGGTGTGGGGGCGTGGGGGGGTTGAGAACACATTTAAAGATGCTTTCGATCTACCTCTCCTTCACCCCTCCCCATTTATTTGATTTCTTTCCACCCCTCTCTCTTTTCCCCCTTCCTTCCTCCTACCCCCATCTATTTGCTTTCTTTCCCTCTCTTTCTTTTCCCTTTTTTCTCCCTTCCTTCCTTTCTCTCTTCTTTCCCTCCTCTCCTTCCCTCCCATCTATTTGATTTCTTTGTTTTTCTCTCTCTCTTTCCCCTTCCTTCCTCCCTCCCCATCTATTTGCTTTGTTTCTCTCTCTCTTTTTCTCCACTTTTCATTCTTTCTTTCCACCTCTCTCTCTCTGACAAATAAATATCATTATCAATATACCCCTTTTGTGTTTTTTGCAGTCTCTTTTAATGTTAATAAAAAGCAAATGTGCATATTTTTCAATAAAAACGTGTCTGTGATATTTGTTCATGTCTTGCAGCTCTCAAACATCTGACGTTTATTTTAAGTGGTTCTTACATTAAGCAAGTTTGGCCACCCCCTGATATAAATACATATATTCCATACATTCTTATATAGTATCAAAAATTCCAAATAATGTTCCAAAAACCACACTACAATTGGTGAATTCAGATCAAAGTTATAAAGCCAATAAGGTGCATAATGCCATAAAGAAATAATAGGAATGCTTGTTAAGCCTCATTATAAATTATTCTTCACAAGGAAATTACTGGAGACTGGTAATGTGATAAATGTAAATGTTCTTCAAATATCTTGATAACTTTCAAGGGCACCGCCATTTGGTTCTCCAGTGGAGCCTGCCAGCCTTTACCGTCAGTTTCTCACACAGTTTTCTCAAGGCAGAACAAGGTCCTGCATATCCATATTAAACCACATCACACAACAAACATCCACAAATTTTCGTGAAACAAATTCTTACAGGTACATAATTCAAGTCTTCCAAGATTCAAAGATTGCTTCTAAGTGGTGGTCGGAGATTTCCTGGGATTACATCTCTAAGCGGCAGAGATCAGTTCACCAGGAGAAAATGGCTGTTTTGGAAGGTGGGTTTCTATGGCATTGTACCCCACCCCCAATATGCAGCTGGCAACCCTATGCTGTGCTGGAAAAGATTTTCTGCCTCTGGATTTTTATCCTCTCCATTTGGTGTTTGTGGATCAGCTTTGTCTGGTCATTTCTATTGAAAGTGAAGGACTTTGTGCTGTCTCTTCGCCTCAGACTTCAGAGGATTGTAAGAGAGATAAATAGGCAGGACTCTGATCGTCCCTTTTCGACTGCACTGATACTATCCTTTTGATGTGTAGATTGCTACACTCAGGGAATCTTCCTTCTTTCTGGTCTGACACCTTCTCTCCACACTATGCCAGCCTTCTCCGTCTTGGCGCCATGAGAGCAGGACATGCTTCCTGCATCTCTATCCATCCTAGCTAGTTAGACTAGATTAGAATCCTATCTCTA